GATAAGAAACCAGCCCCGACCTGTCGTACAGAAGTAGCGTCGACAAACAGCCAATGTATGCCGGAGCTAGAATGAGACTCTCGAGGCCATAAGGATAGAGGACGGGAGCCTCTGGCTCGCTAGTTTTGATGTGGGCGTAACAGCAAGGAATAGACGACAAGGAAGGAGAGCGCCGAGGAGCTTCCTCTGGAGATGGGATCGCCTTTCCGTCCGACAATGAGGGTGGGTTGGGGGGGCTTAGTCGCGACTGGGGATGCTGGCTGGCGGTCGAAGCGGAAACGCTTGGCAGTAATTGATTTGCTTATGATTAGTCTAGAGCGGGTCTCCTCCGCTTATCTACTAGGCACCTTACTCCGTACCATACTTCGAAGATTGAAGCTCTTACTTCTCAACCAGTCTTCTCCGACTACGTACCGCTTGCAATGCTCCATGGCCCCCGATCTTTTTGTTCCTATCTGTATGCAGTGGCAAACGGAAGACTCAGGTCTGGATGTCCTAGTAGTTGGTTGTCACCGGTAAATCCGCATTAGAGGCAATGCGCTCAAATACCATTGGCTTGACGGGTTCTTAGAAATCACCAGGCTTGAATCTAAATTCATCCAACAATCTCAGAACAGGCTTGAGTTGACACTGTATACAAATACGACCAATCCTTTTCACGAACGATCTTCTGACGCGAACTTTCCCTGCCAGAATGCCCTGAAATGCTTCTGCTGCCCCGCAGCGGAGATGTCATCAATCTCCCTAGGAGTCAACTGAAAGGTTAAGGCGCGCAAGTAGCTGCTTAAGCGGGATTCTTTGCTACTAGTCGTGATTGTTATACAGCCACGGTCTATGGACCATCTCAGGAGGATCTCCCCTTCACTGACAGCATATTTTTTAGCCAGATGTGGCAGCAGGTCATCCACTGGCCCTCCCTTTGATCGGATGATAGGAGTCAAAGGCCCATAGCTGGCTGTTTGGATGCCTTGGCTCTTATGAAAGTCGAGTAGATTGCCATGCTGTAGATAGGGGTGGAATTCAATCTGGTTGATGGATGGCGGAACTGTGGCTGTCTCCAAAATAGCCTCCAAATGGCTTTGCAGGAAGTTAGACACGCCGATTGACCGTGCCTTTCCAGCGGCCTTCACCTGCTCCATAGCAGCCCAGGCTGTTTGAAGGTCGCTATCTGAGCTGGCGAAAAAAGGCGAGTGAATTAGATACCTATATGTAACACCCGTTAGTCCTCGCATCTGGCAGTAAACCAAAGTTCTTCGAGCCGGTAGAAACATATTGGCGGGCCGATCACCTACAGATCAACGTAATCCAGCTGAAGCTTTTCTAGACTTGCGTCGATTGCCCTCGGAATATCTGCGATATTTACGCTCACCTTGGTGGTTACGAATAGCTTATTTCGTTCCACGCCACTCTCCTTGATAGCAAGACCAAGCTCAGGCTCAGTTCTGTAAGTCTCGGCGCCATCAAGGTGGAGATACCCCAGTCGAATAGCATCTTTGATGGATTCAACGAGCTCCCGGTTGATACTAGTGTCTCCTTCCTTCTTATACCAAGCTGTGCCGCAGCCATATCCAAGCTGCTTCCGTTATTAAGGGTAACTGAATTGGTTGCCAGAAGGATAAAATTGCAAATGAGTCTGCTGCTCCCACAACTTACCTGGGGAACACACGTGCCATCGTTCAACCTGACGGATGGCATAGATTTCAGGGTGTTGGCCATCTTTGTTGCTATTCAGTATGACTGGTGTGGTGATATCCTTGTTCGTAAACACGACCAACCCCACTTTCTTTCTTTTCTTTCGCAAGGCAGAGGAGACCTTTGGAAGTTCTATACTCGGGTGCAGAATGGATGATGTATTAATACTCCGTACTACGAACCGGATCGGATCAGCTCCGGCTCCACAAGCCATCATCCAGCTCCATCCCGCGCTGCGGCTGCGCATGTCCTGAATCTCCGAGCCTTCCGCCTTGCCCCACCATAGTCCGACGAAGAGGTTCTATTTTACAATGGTAGACATTGCGTTACCAGCGTGTAGTCCATCAAGGGGCAGACAAATGCGGGATCGGTAGGCGGAAATGGTTGAGGAGAATGATGTCATAGCCCAGGTCTCGCCTCGCCGGCTTACTTAAACTGACCCGGGTCAATTGCTAATACAGAGAGTACTCGTCGGTTAACTAACTGATAAACTAAACTTAACAGCTACTCTTCTTATAGAACCCGGTAAAAGCCATCCTCCTATTTGCCTAAGTAGCTTGTCGAGGGTCCGTATATATTTGACACATCCCTCGCTCACTGTTTTAGGTCTTCCATGGGCTTATTTGTCGCTCATCCTGGCCTTCTCCGCGCTCGTTTTATGTTGGCCCGCAGTACCCTCTATCCATCGCGGATCAGTCGAAATCGCTTAACTCAAATGGCGTCGCAGCTCTCCGACGCAAACGGAGGGCTTTCGTTGGCCGAACTCCCTAAGTCCAATGTCTTCACTTCCAAGCTTCCCCCCGACCCAGCTTTTGAGACCCCTGAGGTGTCACATCGAGCTCCCCGTGAGACACTCGGCCCACGGTTAGTAAAAGGTGCTTTATATACCTTCGTCAGACCTGAGCCGGCGGAGGAGAGCGAACTTCTGGGGGTGAGTCCAAAGGCCATGAATGATCTTGGTTTAAAGCCCGGTGAAGAGCTTTCCCCGAAGTTCAAAGCTTTAGTTGCGGGAAATGAATTTTACTGGGATGAAAACGAGGGTGGCATATATCCTTGGGCACAATGTTACGGAGGTGAGAGACGTCGGAGACCTTTCAATTTCTTAGACGGAGATCAATAGTCACTAATACCTTCAAGGATGGCAATTGTATGTTTCCTGACAGTAAATATCTTTGTTTCTCGAAATTGACAAATCGCAGCGGCTCGTGGGCTGGGCAACTCGGCGACGGAGTAAGTGCTTGTTTCTAGATACAACTCTTCAATGATGGAGCTTAATAATTGATTTTCCAGCGTGCAATCAGCCTTTTCGAAACCACAAACCCGAAAACCCGTACTCGCTATGAGTTACAACTGAAAGGTGCGGGGCGGACTCCTTATTCCCGCTTCGCCGATGGAAAGGCTGTGCTTCGCTCTAGCATCAGGGAATACATAGTATCGGAAGGTATTGCTTCCGCATGTCCTATTAGTGCAGCTTCGACTAACTGCGAGCAAAGCCCTTTCTGCACTTGGTGTTCCAACCACTCGAGCTTTGTCTATAACCCTATTGCCTCAGTCAAAGGTGTTGCGCGAACGTTTGGAGCCCGGAGCTATAGTTGCTCGATTTGCTGAATCGTGGCTGAGGATCGGAACATTTGACCTCCTACGGGCACGAGGAGACCGTGAGCTGATTAGACAATTGGCGACGTATGTCGCAGAGGATGTGTTCCAGGGCTGGGAGGCTTTGCCCGCTATGCTGCCGCTGGACCAGAGTCAGTCATCTGATACTGTAGACAACCCTCCCAGACATGTATCCTGGGACCAAGTTGAAGGGCCGCCAGGCTCGGAAGAGAATCGGTTTGCAAGGTTGTACCGTGAAATTGCACGACGAAATGCTAAAACCGTTGCTGCTTGGCAAGCATATGGATTTATGAACGGGGTGTTGAACACTGACAATACTTCAATCTATGGCCTATCATTAGATTATGGCCCATTCGCGTTCATGGACAACTTCGATCCTCAGTACACGCCTAACCATGATGACCATCTCCTGAGATATTGTTACAAGAACCAACCTAGCATCATCTGGTGGAATCTGGTTAGGCTCGGCGAGTCACTCGGAGAACTTATTGGTGCAGGTGAAGACGTTGACAAGGAAGAGTTTGTGAAGGATGGTGTGACAGAGGAAGCCGCGCCTGCCATCATCAAACGTGCGGAGGAGATCATTGACCGAACAGGCAAGGAGTTCAGGATGGTGTTCCTGAACGAATATAAACGCATCATGAGCAACAGGCTAGGCTTGCGCAGCCATAAGGAAACTGACTTCCAAGTATTGTTTTCGGAACTGCTCGATACATTGGAAGCTTTGGAGTTAGACTTCAATCACTTTTTCCGAAGACTGTCAAACATATCGCTGTCGGATATAGAGACGAAAGAGACGAGAGAGAGGATAGCATCTATCTTCTTTCATAACGAAGGGTTTGGTGGCATCGGATACACCGAGGATTCCGCGAGGCAACGAGTCGGAGATTGGCTTGACAAGTGGAGACAACGAATTATAGAAGACTGGGGCGTTGATCAAGACTTGGAAAGACAAAGGATCATGAAGAGTACAAACCCAAAGGTAAGCCTACCATTACCATTTTCGCTGCTGGCCCGCCACGACACTAATGGGTGGTTATGTTTCTTTAGTTTCTGCCTCGCGGCTGGATCCTCGATGAAGTTATTGAACGTGTTGAACGCCGTGGAGATCGAGAGGTACTCGGAAGGGTGATGCATATGGCACTTAATCCCTTCAATGAAGAATGGGGGCAGAATCATGATGAAGAGGAGCGCTTTTGTGGGGATGTCCCTCGCTTCAAGAGAGCCATGATGTGCAGCTGCAGTTCTTGAACGTGTTCCCACAAACGGCGACCGATACATTAAAGTCCGCGGCGTTATGATGTATTTAGAATAATGTAATTTTTGATGCAAGTAGCTGATGCTACGGAGAACTGAAAATGATCACCAAAAAATATTGTTTCCACCCTCTTTCTGACAGATAAAGACTACTCCCCTAACGATTCCCTGGAGGTACATGCCGAGCAGGCAAAGGCCTGACTAAGATGGAACCGTGGAATTGAAATTGCTTTCATATGCTAGTTTTGTGGACAAGTTTTCTTCCGCATTACACATCATTTCACATGTTTGCCCACCCGCAAACCCAGGCCACCACTTATCAGTCTTACAAACTGATTCTCCCGCTTTTATTGTTTGGAACACCGGACTTCATCCGTCTGATTCCACGATAACTGGATATCATTTTGGATATCATTGTCAGCCGGCGGAGGAAGTCAATCAGAGACAGGCTCGCAAGCCAAGTCGTGCATTAGACCAGAGAAATCGGGGTAAAGAGATTGTAGATCATCACGGCGAGCGCGATAAAGGTCATCCCGATATCCTGGTCTCGCGTATGATAGCGCGACAGAAGACAAACGATGCAGCATGCAGATCAACTATTTAGTTAGGGCAAGCAGCCTGGACGTGACCAGGTTGCTTGCAGTTGTAGCACACCCGCTCACCCTTGGCCTCCGTAGGGCAGTCGCGGGAGACGTGGCCGACCTCACCGCCTAGGAATACAGTGTTAGCGTGTCTGACTGAACCTGAGAGATTGTGAAGGGTGCAGTAGCCTACAGTTGTAGCACTTCTGGCCGTTGGTGCAGTCGCGAGCCATGTGTCCGAAGCCACCGCAAGAGTAGCAAGTCTGCTGACGGCCGCCAAAGCCACCACCGTAGCCGCCGCTCTGAGGGCAGTTCCTAGCAATGTGACCGACACGGCCGCACTTGTAGCACTCCTGGCCACCACCAGCAGCAGCACCACCGAAACCCTCGGCGGGGCTAGCCTGGCACTCACGGGAGATGTGGCCCACACCACCGCAGCGGTAGCAGGACTTCTCCTTGGGTGCTACAGTGCATTCACGGCCTGCATGATAGGCGTGTTAGCATCTCGGCAAGACAAAGGAAGATATATATATGATCAAAAGACGGAGAACTGGAGAATTTGCTGGTTGACTTACTGACGTGTCCCTGTCCTGTGATGGTACAAAGGTGCGGTTAGATAGAGTGGCTAAGAATCAACGGAAAAAGGCGCAATGAATTGGGCCAGTGAACGAAAAGGAACGAGGGAGATTGATCATTGATGTAGAGACGAGGTCGGGAGACATACCACCACAGTTGTAGCTACCGAATTTCGTCAATAATGTTTACAGTAAGAGGAAAATGGACAGTGCAAGTTAAGCATACCAGGTAGGAGTGCCCTTCTTGGGACAGTCACGGGCCTGTAGAGATTAGAGATTAGAACGTGGCCAAACCATGATTATAGAGACAATCCCAGAAAATGCTGGACGAGGATGGTATGAGGAGACGATGGTGACAGGGAAAGGTTTACCTGGTGAGAAGCATCACCGCCTAAAATGAATGAAGATCTTTTGTTAGCTTTTCCGTGCCAATCCAGAAATTCGCTTCAGCAGGAATGGTAGCCACCGCGCTAAGACGGCAAGACCATTCGCTATGAGAAAAATGGAAAAGATAGATAGGTGATCATGGAAATTCAAGGGATCCCAGCTGTAAACTGAGGACACCAAGTAAAACTCGGTGGATGATGGGCAATCATGATCAAGAAAAACCGTTTTTTTTCTCCCCCTCGGCTGGAGCTGCGGGAATGGAGGCACACAAGGTGCATGACAGAATCGAAGGGCTCAGGTTTGACAATCGACGGAACAGAGCGGGGGGGCAGGGACTCACAGTTGAAGCAGCCACGACCTCCAGCTTGGAAACTCATTGTGAATATAGGGTGTAGGTGAACTGGTAAAGAACTTTTGGGGTGAAGAGGTAAGTAAGAGAGAGGATGGTGATGGCCAGGTGAGGGTTTGAGAGGGGGGTGGAAACTGGGCGATCAGAAATTTAGGTAGGGATTTCTTGCTAGCGCCGATAAATAATAACCAGAAGGAAAAATAAATCAGACATGCGGACAGTCGGTGCGGGGGAGCGCTTCCCGTGGTTCCTGCAGGGCTTTAACGCCGGGAGGCCGCAACACACAACACCTGCCCGCTTCCAGACCTGGGTGTGATCCTGGCTTTTCGCGCCATACCCACACCCATGCTGTGCCCTTAAGCCAAGTCCTACTTAGCTTTTCCAGGTAGCGTTTAGCGATCCGCCATTATGCCCGTACATGTGGTGGCGATCGCAGCAGTCACGATGAGGAAGGAGAGGAGGGGTCTTTGGCGGGACCTTAACCAGACCTTCGTGAGATTGGTACATTACTCCTGCTTTTCCTCCGCGACAACGAGGACGAAAGCAGGCTCATCCTATCCAAGATGATATCTCATCAGTCGCTGAAATTTATTTCGCACTAGGTGCTGATAAATTTGATGCCTTTCAATTAGCGAGTGTATGCGCAGCCATATATCACAGGGTAGAAGTGAGGACAGTATGACGAGACTGTCCCCTAGTAGGCCGCTCGTGTCGAACAGTAAATAACATCGAGCATGACCGCAGGAGAAAGAAAGGTACGAGGAGAGGGAAACTATCCGTTACTTCAGGGCAGGATGGTAATGCTTTAAACTACGCCGTGACTCTTATGGCTCCCTCCCAAGGTCCTCTCCGGGACCGGACACCTTGGTTGCTTGCAACTTGAGGTTTGTCATGTCGATCCGGAATGGTCTACGCTTACTCTTCGGTTTTTCTCATCCTACTGATTCCTTTTGCCATGAATACCTCTTCTCGAATGGACGTTTGGAAGTTTATTAGCGACATATTTAGACGTTTTGGATAGCAGGTAGTTCATAAGGGGTTTCCTGACCAGGCTTGAACTCTGATCTATGGTATCTATAGATTACAAAATTGTCATTTCACGTGAAGTCATATAATTCGAGCATCTGCGTCCCGACTTCCTTTTCGCGGAGTAGAAGGACTCGCTCATCGTCGAATCCAACACAGTTGTGCATCCTCGTTAACCCGTAGGTATTATCGACCGAGCTTGATCGGGTTGCGTTGAGCTGACCCTGAGAAGACTCCGACACTAAGTCAAGGCTGTCATGTCGCTGATCTGCCCTATTCCCTGGGCTTACTCGGATGCTATTCCCGTCCCTTAACGCCCTGTGCCCTCCGAGTGAAGAGACCAAAGATTCGAGTTCCCATATTCTGATGTCATCTCCTCTAGAACTCACCGAAACTGCCTTACCACGATCACTAACCTGCACGGCTGAGACGGACGATGTATGGCCCCAGAGACGCTGGCAGCTTGTCACGGAAAGGCTCGTCGAAGTGGAGACCACAAGGTACACAGTCAAGGTATTGTCCGCGTGCGAAGTCAAAAGGTAAGGATGAGAATAAGACACCGAGGTTGGTGGTTCATAGTGTGATATTGAAGGTCCGGGTAGCCTTGTATTTAGCTCATTCCCGGAGCCTACCACATCTGTGGTGCGATAGTCCCTTTTTGACCGGCCGCGAGAAGTTGGTAACACAATCCCGTATTGGCAGTCGACTGTGGTAGCAAGCCGAGAGCTCAGCTGCTGACCGTCCAAGCCGAATTGCAATTCTTGAATACCTAGTGACCAGCCGCAGCCTATATGGTAAAAACTGTACACTATAGACGCTACTATTTTGGGACCCGCAGCGCGGACAGATAGCGATATTGGCTCCAATATACTGTCCGCCTTGAGAGTAGTTAGTAGTCGTGGAGTTAATGACCAACCGTCTTCGTCTGTGATTGTTTCATACAGAGATAGAACCTTGTGTTGAGAAACTAAAAGCAGGAAAGGGGAGTACGAGGCCATTGCCGTGATGGCTTCACCGGTGCCTTCGACGTAGACGAAGCGCGTTTCAATCCAAAAATTTGTTGTGTCTAGAGTATAGACACCGAGACGGCCATCCTCAAAACCAATTGTAACATCTATCAAGCTCTGCTGTGGACCGCTCGTTGCAGCCGCCATTGCTGTGGGAGCGGGTAACGATCGCGACGGCGATTTTGCCAAAGGAGACCTTGCTAAGCATTGTTCAGGCTTTTCGGCGGCCCAAGCCCTTAAGCCGTGATCTGAATCCGCTGTAAACACAATGCCAGCACAAAATGTTACTAGCATCTGTCGACGAAGCGGTTGTGGAAACTCGATCTCTGTGACCCGACAGACTCCCCTCGACCAGTTGTGTCGGAGACGATACTGTCGTTTCCAATTTGTGGCCACCCCTTCCTTTGCCAAGTGACTGTGGTCAAGCCAGGTAGACACCCTAGGCGAATACTCGATTTCAGAGCGGGATAAGAGTGCACGCCTAGCATTTGGTAACCGACGCGCTCGAGGCCGTACCCATCGAGAATAATACTGTCTTTTCCAGAGCTCCGAATCTCCAGCTAAGACATGGAACCGACGCGAGAGTCTATGTGGGGAGAAGTGATGAGCTGTGAGGCCGGCACTCTAAATGAGGAGGACATACTGTTGGCAGACAAGCAGAGAGGGGAGGGGAAGAAAAGACAATATATGAAGTAGGAGCTCGTCACTCAGTCTGGATATGTGATCGAGATGGCCGTTGGGGGTCATGCGGAGACGCTTTGGCGGGGGAAGATCTTCAACATTGCGCCTCTTTGGCATTTTGTGACTGGGAATGCAATGCTGGGGTAAAGGCAGTCATGAAATCCGGAACAACCGACTGCACAAGTCAGTGCTTGCTGGATGAACGCACTCTTGAGACGGAGGTACCACTTCCTATTCCGCCTGTCCGCCTAATAATGTCAGGGCGGAGGCTTATCTGAGGGTGGTTGATACGGTATGTATGGCGGACCGATGTTTCGAACGATACGGTACGTGCCGAGGTAATAGAGCGGTCCTCTGTACTTCATACAATCAGGAAACTACTGGTATTAATGCGGGTATCTATCTTTGCGCGTCAAAGTCGCGTGTCACAGCCGCCCTATGCTACTACATACATCCGGGAGACCTCTCCTGTATTTAGCATAGGCTTTAACCAATGGAGGCTCTTGAGCAGTTCCAAATCTCTCTTACCCAAGCCTTTGGCGATTGTTTCAAAGATGTTCACAAGACCCTTCAACAAGAACTTGCTCTCCGAGACGCGAAGGTGCAGGCGGCCGAGGAGAGGTTTAGAATTGCAGATGAAGCACGGAAAAGAGCGGATGCAGAATTGACAGCCTTAAAGGATGAGGTTACTCTTCTACGGGATGAGCTGCGTCTCGGGGATGTTGGGTCCACTGAAGACCAAGTTACTGCTCAGAAGTCCATCGAACTGGAAGCAACGTACGCGCCGCATCGTTTTATAGATCGTATATGTGCCAACCGCAGGGACTCCGAGAGCTTCGACTCTACTGAGATAATGGCTGTGAGGGACTTGTATGCCGCGCTTTACACAGAAGCTCAGACGCTTATGAAAGCCTCTGGCGAACTTAGGAGACAAGTCAAACGTCACAAAAAGAAATTAATGCATTGGAGAAAGAGCCTCGACCGCGACAATTTCACATTGGTGCTCGATGGAGAAGCAGTTGATTTTCAGCGGGCTAAGAGAAACAGCTGTGAAGAACATTCACGCTTATTCACTAATCTATCAACATCTATACCAATAAACTCTTCGGAATCGGCCATGCATCCAGTTTTGCGAGGAGCTTCCGCCCCTATTATGCATACTTTAGGACTAGGTGCTTATGATGAATCTTCGAATGCCGACGTGCCAAGGGAGCCAGCTGCAGCTCAGAGTGCAACTGCTCCGGCCGCAACTATCAAACGAAAACGTTCAGCATCACAACCGCCTCATCAAATATGCCCAACACTTCACGATAATGCCCCTAATCATGGTAACAGTGGTTCAAGCCAGCCTATTCCTATCAAAGACGAGGGCTTGTCATCTAGCCCTTTGGGGGGGCCATTATCCAGTTGCGGGGCTATTGGGACCCAGGACCTAGACGAGGTTGGTGTCTTGGTTGAAACGCCAACTAAGAGAAAGAAGTATAAGGAAATTGGCTCCGAGCGAGCGGCTTCACCAGCGATTGAAGCCAGACGCAAAGGCCTGCCCCCAGCAACATCTCAATCATTCTCGAGACGACCCACGGTACTGCAATCGGTCAATGGCAACACAAGCGTCAATAGATATGATCAACGGTTAGGCACAGCAGCCGCGAAGGGATCAAAACCGAGACTCAAATACCCCATCTCGGCGATGGCTGAGGATGGCGAAGAGAATGACGTGAACTTCGCTACACCAAACCGATTTAACACGTCGGCATTTGAATCTAGGTCGCCACATCCAGACCCAGGAAAGGAAGGCCAATTTGCCGTACAGAGACTGGAAGGACTTCTTGAAGGACCGGTGCCTGTTAAACAACAGCTCCAACCCAAGAATATGAATGAAGAATTCACAAGGGGCCGCACAGTGCAGCGCTCTCCTTCTGTTGGACGAACTTTGTCACAAACATCTAATAATAGCAGCGGAGGACAGACAAATGCCGAATCAGAAATCATGCAGGGGAGTTCGAAACTTGATATTCAACATGGGTTCACTCAGGCCACCTCGTCTTCGGGAAGCGAAGCACAACGGGTAAAGGAGAACGCCACGCGTATACCATATAGAACTTTGCCGCTGCATTGCCTCGAACTCACCCATTTCAGGATTAATCCAAATTATAATCAAGGGGTAAATTTTGCGTTTAGCAGTGTCATCCGCACCACAGACGAGCGCAAGTGTGCAAAGGGTTGTATGCGCCCCAGCTGCTGCGGAGGCAAGTTCCATGCCATGGCACGCCTGGGCGGTCTTCCGACGAACGCAACCTCTAATAAGGACAGAGAACAGGAAGAGCGGAAGATTCTGGAGGACTATTTGGGAGAGGAAGCACATATACTCGATAAACTAAGCACGGAGGATCGAAAGAGCCTTCTGCAAGAGGCGAACGCCAGGCTCATTGCCAATCGGTTTGGGAAGCATAGGCATCACCACCAGCGATCGGGATCGCCACCGGGATACTGGCGCACAGATATGCCTGATACACAGGAATTGCAGCGTGATCATGAGGAGGCAAGGGAAATTGAAAGGGAGAAGGTGCGAGACCGATATCGAGAGGCAATGCGTCCCGGTGGCCTGTGGAAGTTTGCAGATGAGTGAACACAGTTCACTGGGCTTTAAGGGCTGCGCTTGGGTTTACAGGAGAACTTCCACAAAAGCTACCTAGGCAGTAGATAGAAGCCAATGTTTTTCTATCGGGACTTCCAATATAACCCAAGCATTATCGCTTGTTTGTCCAAGTCGCTTTCTTATATGGTCACTGTATTATTGCAAGATCGCATTTCTTGGCAAGCTACCGACACGTGCCTTAGCCGCTACCCTGGTGCCTACCTCGGCCTACCTCTCCCTACCCACCCGGAACTAGCTCACGCCGTAGATAAAGTCGTTCTTCCAGCCCAGCTGACACGACTGGGTACGCTTGGGGGAACCTCCACTCATATTCTTTCAAGGCACTTCTTGATATCAAAGACATCAAGCTCACCCTATATTTTTCATGGTTTTGCCCTGAAAATGGAATCATCATGGCGCGCCCAAAACCCGATACCTGCCGCACTGTTGCAACCTTCCAAATGGCTCCCACTGTACGAGGAGTTCGTGACGAAGAATGCTAGTTCTGTGGGCCAAGTGGAGTCCGCGTTGAGGTCTCTAACATACATCATCCCAGGTTAGTGCATGAAGCTTGAGGTACGGGAACTTGGCCGAGGAAATGGAAAGCTGAAGACAATGTGTAGGACGATACCGAGATTCGGAGATAAGCTCAGAGTGCGGTACGTTATTCAAGCGTTCCTAATGGTTCCCTCCTAGACGAAGCAGCCGTCCTTTTAATACTGACTTTTGCGAAAAAGTGCATTCAGGGGTACAGCTTCTGTCTCTCTACCATGACTCTTTGGTTTCGCGAGTCATTTCTAGGTTACCTTCAACGATCCCGCGGCCTACACCATCGCCTCATGCGCGCTACACGAAGTATTGGACCTCCCACTCTTCACTGTATCAGAGGATCGCCATCGCACTACAGATGATTCAGTATACGGAACTGCTGTGGGAGATGGCGGCTAGGCGTCGTGGAGAGAAGGTGCGCTGGCGTGTCATCGTCCTAATCGAAGCCGCTAAGGCCATCTGTCGCCTGTTGCTCCTTCGTCTCACCAACTCTAGACCATTAGTCAGTCCTCCACTTCCTGAACGGGAAGTAGATCCCAGATCGCTGGAAGAGGAGGACAATAGCGACTGGAATGGCATGCAGACACCTGTTAGCGAAAAGTCGTCGGATTTGTGCTGGACTATGCCTCGCACAGGCCTGTCGCTTCCTTCTCTGCCTAATGTGGACGACCTTTCGAACTACTTGATATCTAAAGTACTTACAGCCGACGATATCAAGCCACCAAAAACGCTGTTGCACCGAGTCACTGGCCAGGGCCAATTCGCCGAGATTCTATACATCCTCCGACCAGTAGTCTATGCGCTCATGCTGCAACGATACTGCAGAGACAGGCGGAGTTGGAAGCCCTGGCTCATCGGGTTCGGCATGGAGTATGGCTGTCGACAACTAGCCAAAGCTGATCTTCGCGAAAGAGTTGCAGGCGGCCTTCGGGGATTGACCGGGCTGGAGCGGGAGGAACTGAAGAAGAGAGGTTGGGCGATGGGTTGGTGGTTTATGCGTGGGGCTTTCTATGAAAACATTACCAAGTATGGCACTCCCGCCTTTCCCACACTACCGACAAGGAGATAGACTATTGTACTGACTTTTACACAGATCCTGGTTGAAAGGCCTGACCGGCAAGATGAGGGGCAAACCTCTGCTTGATTTGGTAGGCAGTGTCATTGATGATTACGAGTATCTTTGGGACAACTACTACTTTGCGACTACAACACTGTGAAGTTCGCTGTGTTTGTTCTGCCAGCGTCAGATGTTTCTGCCATTTTTGCCAGCATTTTGCTTTACCTCGGGAGCCTTCTGTACCTCACACAGCCTGTCTTCTCGTACTTAACTTAGATACCCGATGGCTTACCATCCCCAAGCTATCCCCTTTTAATATGTTAAATCGCTATATTCTATTTTTGCTTCAACTTGCCCGTATAAGTGCAAAATACAACAATTTCATATGCTTCCATAGAACCTAAGAGCAATCACGTTGCAAAAGAAAGTGGGTATCATTTGGTCATTATTATCGTCACCTCCGCATCTGCGTGTGATGTAGGATAAACTCATGTTTGGCTAAGAAAGGACCTCAGTGGACCTTGACCCGTACCATTCCAGCAGCTCGTGCTGAGCTTTAGTAGTGTTACTGGTTGAAGATAAGAGGAAGTCCCTGAGCTGCGTATTTTCTTCCTCTTCTCCAGGCCAGTCGACCTTTGGCCTTCCCTTCAATTCGAGCAACTCTTTTGCGGTGCCCCAACTGAATCGGCATTCGTTACCCCATCCGAAGATCGGATCCATGTTTTTCTTCAACCAATTGGCACACTTTGAGTCAGAGGGATAGCCGCTTCCCCAACTCTGTGGCATCACCGCCTCTGATGCATCTTCCGCATGGACGTCTTCATATATAGCCTGATGACAGAGATCCAATGCGACGTCTCTGGTGACTTTGGCAGCAACACTTGCAGCACTCACGCACGGATATAACGAGTCGGCCTTCTTCGCCACGGTGATTCTGAGTGATGGGAATATCTTTTCGAGTTTCTGTTGGTAGGTTGCGGGGTTTCCAATCGTATCGATGTAGACCTCTCGAACATCCATGTTGCGATCCTCAATGATCCCACGGATGAGTTCAATTGTAGCATCCATTGCCTGCGCATTCAGGTTATAAGCTCCCGCTCCAGGCCGCATCATACCGGACGAGATGTCACGCGCTGATAGTAGCTTCACGGCCCATCCGCAGGATTCGTGTAAGGGATTTCCCGGGGTGCATAGTAGCTTCATGAGGTTAGCGCGCACGCCGGGCGTGAGAACTTTGCTGTCGTTGAAGCTGTAATCACGAGTCAAGAGGGAATGGTGCAGATCTTGGGGCAAGTAGAAAGCGCTGTAGACCATGGGGCCTAGAACTGGACCGCGTCCGGCCTCGTCTACGCCCAAGACAAGGTGATTTGGTGAAGAGCTCGTAGCAGTTTCAGTGCCTTTGGAGGTTGCAATGATAGGAGGACAAGGTGAATAGTAAGCATAGGACTCCCCGGCGAAGAGCCGAGAGTGATCTATACTTGGAGGGATGAAGAGGCCTGTTGCAGTAACGGGAGACTCCCCGGGGGGAGGGCCAGTGGAGTTGTCTGCTGAATCGCCCATGATTGTGTTGGTTCCAGGCGGGACTTTGCGATCACGATAAGCGAACGAAAGGGAAAGAAAAGTGTAGTCGGGGAGTGCAACTGAGATGAATTGTTGAAAGTGAAAGCTGGACGCGTCCCAAACGGTTCCGGACTAGCGGCGCTTCCGCGCGTGTTTGTTCGCCGCCCTCACGGATTCCAACTCCCCTCCGCAGCATTCATTTGCCATCCCCAAGACCTGGGATTTTCTTTCCCCTCTCCGCTAAATCGCAACTACTGTGATCTCCTACAGTCGCCTATTTGACGTTTTACACGGCAGGTTTCCCGCGCACCCTGCCCGGTCCGTACGCGTCTCACCACCACTGAACCCCTCTCGTTGCCTCTCTCAAAGCTGCCGCATACAGCTCCCGAATCTCCGGAACAATGGCTCCCCGGGGCCCTGCGAAGGCTCGCGAGTTCGATTATGCCAATGTTGGCAAAGCTGGAAGGTCGGTATCATCGATGCCAGTTCTCATTGATCACCCCTGTTCAGTATTTGTTCTATCCCCTGCTCCCGTTCAAGTCGCTTCCACCTATTAGAATTTCGGGAGGCTGATGCAGGTGACTGTCACAGGCGCACGGGGTTAATGTTGAAGGAAGGGAAACGTGATGAATATGGAATGGAAGAAGTTGATGGGATATTCTCTTCGCCCGAGACGTCGCCCGTAAAAGAGAATGGCTTCAGTGACCGAGCTGAGGATTCTACCGGCTCGGATGGCATGTCTATCGACGAAGGTGCGTTTCACAGCTCGTCATTATTGTAGCTGAATACTAACGATGATGACTATTTGGCAGGGAATGGTCCGAACCCCACCGATTTCCTAAAGAGCAGACGGAGCTCTTACTTCCCGCCTCCTGTTGCGCGCTCTCCCATGAAGACCGGGCTGACTGGCTCACCTCGGAGGACTCCCGGCTTGCGATCCTCCCAAAGCCCGCAACGCGAACAACCGTCTTCCAGTCCCTCAGACGGTAAAGGCCTGGGGAGTGCCAGGGGGGAATCACGACGAGATGTATCTCCACTTACTAGTCGTTCCATAAATGCGCCACCGGTTCTAAACCAAGTCAATGGTGCACGGAACAACAAACTTAATGATGAACCAACAGAGGAGCCTATGGACTCCGGCTTTTCCGATAGCGATACCGAGAATCAGCTAAACAGAGACGAGAACGGGCATTCATTTGCACAGACACACGATGACTTTATGGACAGCTTCAATGCAGGCGATGATGCCTCGACGGACGACCATGCAGATGAACAAGATGACACTGGCGCCGACCTGGACTCGCCGGTAACCGTCTCCGAATCCCGCAGCAAGAGAGGACAGGCCAAACCTGTTCCAAGGGTTGTTAGAGATGTGAAAGGTGCAAGGGCCGGGGCATCCACGGCTGCGCAGGCGCAGGAGATTGAGGAGAATGAGGAAGAACAGCCGGCACCAAAACGCAAACGTCCTGGGAGGCCGCCGCGAACGCAACGCAAGTCTAGCGATGAAGTGGAGAAAGAACGGCCGTCGAAAAAGCCTAGGGTATCGGACAAAGCTGATAAAAACCCAAGTCCTTCAGGCAATGCAGAGCTGGACAAGGTGGTGGAGAACTATGTCAACCGCACAGGGCCATTGAAGGGTCGGAGTCTCTATATCCTGAAGCGCGAAGTTCCTTCCGAAGGCGCTGCCACCCACACACGATCCGGGCGTGTTTCTGTCAGGCCTCTTGCATACTGGCGAAATGAACGATGCGTCTATGGCGATGGTGAAGCTGTGGAGGGCCAACGGTATCCGCTATCGACCATCAAGGAGATCATTCGCACGGAAGAACTCGAACCGGAGAAACAGAAATCGAACAAGCGCCGCCCTAATAAGAAATCTAAATCAAGGAAGGGTAAAAACGACGATTCCTCGGATGAAGAAGACGGATATGTTGATCCCTGGGAGAAGGAAAGCGGGATTTTGCATGGCTATATCAGGAGGTGGGACGAGGAAGCCCAGGCGGTTGGTGAAGAAGAGGAGATCGTTGGTATGTACTCTCCTTTAACTATGGTTGCCGTATACTAACGTAGTCGCTCGTAGACCTTGCGTACGCCCCTGCTGGAATGGAGACAAGGAGTGTCAAGGACTCCTCGTGGCGGTTTGCCAAACTTCTCAGTTCGCCTTTCTTGGGCTCTGGGATTGTGGAACTGCCGCCTGGAGGGGTTAAGAAGCCCAAAAATTCTAAGAAGATGCACATGGTTTTCTACATCTGCCAGGGTCGGGTGCAAGTAGACATCTCCGGTGTACGATTCAGTGCCGGCAAAGGATGTGTCTTCCAGGTACCAAGAGGTGAGTGAGCTCCGTATTACAACTTTCCTTGACAATATGGGAGACTTGGCCCCGTACCGATGGAGATCCTAATCGAGTTTGCAGGCAACTATTACAGTTTTGCCAATACGCAGAATAAGGATGCCCGGCTGTTCTTCACACAAGGCTGCGTCCCAGTGGAGAACGACGACTCTGCTCCCGGGTCGGCAACCAAACCCGGAGCCATGGACGGGGATTCAAGTACACCGACTGGCCGTCCGACCGGCGTAAAAGGTCGACCGAAGGGCAAACAGAAAGCAGGCGGACGTAAGGCAACGTGATCTCGTATGAAACGTTGTGTCCGAGTTCGCTCTATACGTCTCCTATCATCTTGAAACACCCACCACCTATATCCTGCCCAGCACCGGGCTTTGACCTCTGGATTAGCGCTAGTTACGTGAAATTGTTGGGATGGAAGTCTGCTCACGTCCTCAAGGCTTCGTCCCCCATTCTTTTCTTCTCCTGTGTTCTTTCCTTCTCTTCTCCCCTTTTATTTTGCAGACAGTGGGTTATCAATGAACAAGGGGACATGAGCTGTAGATTTTTCGGAGTAACTTGAGGGAGATTAGGAGTACATTGTAGCAGGCTTTGCTTTATTTTTGTGTTAATCCGTGTGTTCATACTTGACGCTTTGGAAGAAACATATCAAATTTCCTCCATTAATTCATCATCCAAGTCATCCAAGTCCAACGGCGGGAAGTCTCCTACCTCGACTTTCTCGGGCTTCACGAAAACACCAGTCTTATTCGGGCAGGTAAAGAACCTTTGGCCGCCTACGCTGCCATCGTTCTTCCCCAACGGCTCATCAAGCTCAATGCCCACCCAGAGAGGGAGAGCCTCGGGATCTAACTGCACCTTCTTAGGGTCCACGCCCGGGAAAGGGATCGTAGGCACTGGACCAACAAATCGAATCGTTCCTCGTCGGATATGAGGCGGGGACGAGGGCAAGACGATAGCACGTTTATCAACAGCAATACCTACATAAGTAAAATCATCAGAATTCATCTGCTTCAAGCCCCAGGACAGGTCCTTTTCGAGTGGAAAGTTCGCGAAGCCAACTCCCCGATCAGGGTAACAAGATCAAGGACATCTGGTTACTCACCTCTCTGTTGAATCTCAGCAGCATCTCTCTCTGATTGCTGACGAACCGACTCTTCCGGGGTTAGAGCGTTCGGATCGAACCGGCCAAGTTTTTGGTTCTTCTTCCATGCTAGAACAGAGTTCGAGAGTGATTCGTAGGTGGATGTAGGAAGGACGTATTTCTCGACGGATGATAGGTCGGTGAAATTTGGCCGGGCTGCTTGAGGACGAGTGTCGTGAACCTAGGTTGAGACATGAGTATATGCTCATGATATAGTTGGTAATTTCCTGCTTGAGACGTGTTTCCAAGATGAATAAAAGGAAAACCAAGGGCTTCAATGAAGCAACACATGGATTCGTTGAGCGGGTAATAAATCGAAACCGATCATTGACCAGGATCTACTATCCCAGAGACTGGAGAATGTCGAGGATTCCAAAAATTGAGATGAACAGAAGAACAAGACCTACCTCAATCTCACAACCCTTCATCAACCCCCAGTCCCCAATGATGGAGTCGTCGCCTTCAACCCATTGGTCAGGACGACCAGGGGACTTGAGAAGCAGCCGCTGGCTACCGGGAGGTACGCCTGTCATAGTCTCCAGCTTGCCCTTAAGCTGCGAGACACTCCAAGTGGGAGTGATACGACGCTCTGTTAGCAAGCGTGGCTCGGCACTGGAACTTGCCATGGGCGTGGTAATGGCGACAGAAATGTCCGCCGGAGTAGGTTGAAAAGCCATGGTTTTGGAGCAGCCTGAAGCTCTTCAGAGTGCTTGAGATAGAAAGATTGTGGAAGCTGAACTGCTTCTGAAGCTCAACGATCTACAGCGTTGTGTCTGTCCGTGTTTGCAGTCCAGCAGGGAGGGGCTTAGTTCTTTCTTTGTTCACGAATTAGATAGAGTAGTGCCAAGGGAAATGTTCAGAAGGCGAAAGGAAATGACTTGAACAGACTTGAATTCTCAGTGGAATTGCAAGGAATATTCAGGATCAGGCTATTCATCCTTTATATAAATCAAGCTGCCCCGCGGAGGGGCTTCCACTATAGGAGAATATACAGAATTGGGAGGGGCCACAGGTGCGTTCTTGAATAGCTTACAAGGTCTGAAAGGGGGTAATTATGATACTGACCAGATCAAGATGCCTTTCCAGATGGAGAAAAGCTAGAATTAAGCTCGGAGCAGTGGCTGGTGATATCAACGCCGAGAAGAATTGACAAGCAAAGGAATTGCTGCTACTAGTCTTAATGTTCCTGATAAATCGTGGGGATGTTTGCTTCCTTTGATGCCAAACCGCCAATGAGCACGTGGTGTACGGTAACTAACTTGATGATTAATATTACATACAGGGAGCTCTTAGATAGTATTACCGATACCATACAGCATACACAGTGCGAGATGACGTCTTGTGTGTAGAAGGAGAAATTCGGGTGTATAGGTCCCCAGGTCGCCAGGTTGTACGTATTTTTGGTTCTTACCAGTATGGGACCTGGTTATTACTAGTACTGACTATTGGAAAAACTAAGCTGTAAAAATATACTGTCTTACCAGGTAATAAACCTGGTAAGCTTTTATATTTACAGTATTTTTACTAATTTTTATTAAAAGAATCTAGTAATTTCTAATTTAAATTAAAAAATTAA